AGCGGGCACCGCTCTGCGGGGGGAGGCAAATGTTGTAGTTCCCCCCCCAAGAGTGCAGTTGTTTCCAGCCTATCCGGCTGGGGGCATCTGCAGCGCCTCCACAGCCGCGGGCTGGAGGCAGGGGGATGCGGGGCGGCCCTCAGCGCCGCCCGCGCGCCCAGGGGTGTTGCCATCTACAAAGCCCCGCTGCGTCCTGCCGATGCCCTGGCCCTGTCCGTGCCTGCGGCTGGGCTGGGAGACCTGGGCGGGGGGCGTGGTGCTGCCTGCGGGGCACAGCGGGGAGGGGACACAGCCGGGGGATGCGGACACCAGCCCCTCGGCGTCCGCGCCCTACGCCGCCTGCTTACAGGAGCTCAGCACCTGGCTCTTGGTGGCGGCCAGCTCAGCAGCCTGCTGGGTGCAGACAGAAGTGACGAGTTTCGCCTGGTTTGGCCCCAGAACGCGGTTTATAGCGTGACCAAACACAAGTGCAAGCTGTAGACCGATAAAAACATGGCCGATTGGGTGAAAATCTGTCCCCTTGGGCCATGAAGGGCGACATGAAGGCATGGCAAAACAGAGCATCTTCTGTAACTTCTGTCTGGGCCATGTGCTGCTGCTGGTTTCTGCAAATAGAGTTTAAGATGGCATATTATTCAGTTTCTTTTGCTTTGTTAAATTATTTCAGGCTTTGTTTTTGCTCTCTCTCAAACCAGTTTGTACTATTCCATTTATTTTTGCCTGGTTATACTGATTAATAGTCAGCTGTTGCTCTCCACATTGACTGATTTGTTTTGCTCTATTAAACTGATTCATATTCAGCTGTTGCTCTGTCAAAGTAGTTCATATTCTTCAGTTTTATTTTGCTCCTTTAAATAATTTCTTGTTCCATTTTTCAGTCTTTTAAACCAGTTCATATTTTTCAGGTTTTAACTGTATCAAAACAGTACATAGTTTAATTTTGATCCCTCTACTATGGGTTCCTAGATTTAAACACATCATAGTGCTCACTTTTTTGTGCGGTTTTCTGTTTTGAATGCGTTCTTGGAAATACTTACCCAGATTTACATGTACTTCAAATAAATTAAATTATTTCTGATTTCGCCTGTTTACATTGCTTGCGGTGCCTTTGGTTTGTGTGAACTTCAGGAAATTTTATAGTTAAAGGCATATAGATATCTAACTATGGATAGTAACAAACCAAAAACTTAGCTATTTGAAAGTTTCAGCCAGCATGGAGAGAATTGTATGATTTTGTGCAGCAAGGGGATGGTGTTGTCTGTAGCACGTGCAGTGAAGTGGTATCTTGTACTCCAGCATCCAGTGCCATTTTGCAACCAAGCATGAAGTCAAAATTTTTCTGGAGTCAATGAAGCAGACAAATGTGAATCCATTAGAAAAGCTGTTGATTCATTTCTAAAACAGAGACAGCTTTTCTAATTTTGTAGATAGAAATATTCTTTCCACACAGGCAAATTACATTGCAGCTCTAGCTCAGGAAGGCAAGTATTTTACAGATGAAGAATACTTAAAGTATTCTTCTTAAAATGTGCTGAGGATCTGTTTCAGGATTTTGTGAATAAGGAAAACATTATTGTTCACATTGATGAAATGCCATTGTCATCCAGGACTGTTCAAAGGTGAATAGATGAAATGGTAACTAATATTAGGGAACAAATGATTCAAAAATCACCTTGCTTGTGATATGATGAGCCTTGCAGTAGATGAAAGCACAGATATAAATGATATCCCCCATCATGCCATAATTGTTAGATATTTTATCTCTGGGGAAGTTTGGGAGGAATTGTTTTCTTTGAGTGCTATGCATAGCAGAACAAAAAGCCAAAAATATATTAATGCTGCCATAGATATTTTGTACACAGTGAGAAATTGACCTACACAAAGTGTTCTTCCTTATGACTAATGGTGCATCTGCTATGGCAGGTAAAACAGCGGGATTTGTAGAGCTTCTGAAACAGAGTTTGGACATCCTCTTATGAGTTTCCATTGTATTATTCATCAGGAGAGCCTGTGCACTAAGATCTCATCTTCTGATCCAAGTGAAATCATGACAGTGATTGTGAAATTTGTCAACTTTTTGGTCACCCGCTCTTCTTTGACATACAGGAGATTCTGTGAACTTATAAGTTATATGGAGTCTGCATATGGAGATTTAGTGCTGCACAGTAGTGTATGCTGATTGAGTTGAGGTGACATGCTCAAGCGATTTGTTGCTTGTCTCAAATCCATCAAGCTGTTTCTTGAGCAAAGTGGTCAGTAACATGCAGACCTTACTATGACAGATGGCAAACAAAACTGATGGCTTTGACAGACATTGCATCACATTTAAATTATTTGAATACTAGGTTACAAAGAATACAGAAAACTATCCTTCAGCTGTCTGAAGGCTGGGAACTATCTTTGATAAGTTGTCCATTTTCGAGACAAGATATCGAAATGTTTGCCTTCTGTTACTTCCTCAGTCTGAAAACCCATTCCTGAGTAGCATCAATTGAATAATAGGGGTATATGAAACTACATAGAACAGCTGGAAGATGAGGTCACAAAGTCATTTCAAGACTTGCAACACAGGACCCCTGTTTTCATTTCTTGTGAACCCAGACAATATTAGGGAAAGTGATACAGAACTGCAGTATGTTCAGTGACTGAACATTGAAGGATTTGAATTGGAACCAATTGACTTTCAAAGCTCGTGCATCTGGGTGTCAAAGTTCAAGTTGTTGTGAGGTAAATTTGAGAATGAAAGGGACTAGCATCTCGAGATTACAGCATATTGGACTTCCCTTCTTCAAAAGTATGCCTGCTTGAAAAAAGTAGCTTTTGCTTTGCTGTCCATCTTTGGATCTACTTATCACTCTGAACAAGTGTGATCACAAATAAAAACTACACTCAGTCCTGTGAGAAGCTATCTGATGACTGACCATTCAGATTTATGTTTGCATTTGATGACAACCAGCTACCAGGCTAACATAACCAGTCTTAGCTGTCAGAAGCAGGGCCAAGACGGGCACCAAGAAAAAAAAAAATTTACTTGAGAGCATTTTTACTTATTTGTGGCAGTGAATACTTAATTCCTTAAAATAGATGCTCTGCAAGTTTATCCTTAAAGAACCAATATCTTCCATGGCAACATCTCTCTGGAGAGGTATGGGCATGGTATAGAGGTGGAGGAGACCCAGGATGTGATCTCTCAAGCCTCACTGTAAAGGCCAAGAACAATCAAGTACCACATACTCCCCCTCTATTCTACCTACTATTTAAGGCCAAGGTGTGGTGGGTAAAAGAGAAAAGACAGCAGTAGGGTAGGTAAAAGTGGGTTAGGACCCTGTGACCAAGGGCCTACTCTGCCCCCTGTCACAATGATCACCAGGGGGTTAGTGCTTTTTTCTTCTCTCCCCTTTTTTTCCCCCCTGTCTCTCTCTCTCTTTCTCCGTGTCATCACAGCATGCTTTAAAAAAAACAACACAAAGGCAGTATATGAAGCTTTATTTATTCTGCACCTGCTGACAACTTTTAAAAACACTGCCTTATGCAAGTTATTCCAGAGGGTGATATTTTTTTCTAAGCTTATTGCTTCAATGGTGAACTTTCTCCCTGCCCTCCCCAAATTCAATTAAAGTATTACTAAACTATAAGGTTACATGGTTAAACAATCTAAGATCATGAAATGCCAAATGTTTAAACTGCACATGACAAATCTGTAAAGAATTTAAGATGTCCCCATGATGAAAGGTCATTATCATAGTGCCTTTTTTCTTTTTACTTCACAGAATGCACTAGTGTCTTTAAAGCAAGAAATGTTTTATTCTATTGGCCCAAACAAAGAAGTAAAGGAAACAAGAAGGCTAAGTATTTTAAAGTACGGTGAGGAGTAGAGATTTAGAGGGTCTTTGATGGAGACTGCAGTTCAATTAGTTTATACTGGGTACAATAGGAAGAAGGCAACACAAGTTCCACTACCTTGTTTCCCAATGGGTTTTTTACTCAAGACCTTCAGAAACAGCTTCTAGGGGGCATAGTTTAGTTTTTAGGTTTACTCAAAAAATTTGGACATCCCTAAAGGTCCAAAATAACAGTTGCCGCCTTTAACTGGAGTGGGGGAAAAAAAAACAAAAACTATCAATGGTTTTTCAAAAGACCATTGAACAGTTGGAAGACAATTACTACTTTGGTCATATTTGACCAGAACCATATTTTTTGTTTATGCTAGTTGTACATGTGCATCTACATGTAGAATTAGCATGTATCAATAAGCTCCAGCACAGTTTCTGCAAGAGTCAGCTGCTTCCAGGCACAACATCTTCATGTGTGCCCAGGATTGCAGCTGTTTGAGCCAGGGCAGAGCAGCCCCAGACTGGCGGGGGGTGGGGGGAAGCACAGGCTCTGGGTAGTTGTGTCACGGCTGGCAGGCAGCCCCAATACTGTAACAACTTCACGCCCTAGCCAGCCCTGGTCACTCTATAAAACATGCGTTTTGGCACACTAAATGACTGACTCTGCCATAGGTCGATACTAGTATCAGACAGTACTATCCTACAGCAGAGGTAATTACATTTACTGTGTTCCAATACTGATGCATGTGTAG